CTCCATGTCCTGTTAGCTCCTTATTCCTGTCTTTGGCAGGCATTACCTCCACAAAGATCTGCCTTTGCTGCAGGTCTCTAAAGAGTCTCTGTATGGTTGAGCAAAATTATCCACAACAAAGAGTCTGCTCTTTTTTTAAACTAATGAAAGGACTCACAATAAAATGGCAGATCATCCTGCTGAGTGTGTGTGTGTTTTCTATATCTTCACTTAGACTATTTTGTGGATAATTTTGGGTTTCATAGATTTGGTGATGTTTCATTAGGTTTGATTTAGTCTGGCCTTTGGGTGACTGTCTAAATCGCTATCAATTTACTCTGAATATTGAACACTGGGTCTGAAATTAGGGTGGTGTTAATTAGCTGTAATTGGTCACAGAGATGGCAGGGAATTTTGAACACTCTATTAGCCCATTAGCAAATGTGGATTCCTGGGCAATCAATCTTCAGGACTGAAATAATCTTAAATTATTTAGTTACATTTACCAATTAAAATATATAATCCAGTTATGTGTACAAGAAATGCGTGAAATAAATTCATGAATTATGAAGCCAATTAACAAGGTGTATTTTCTAACAGAAATGGTGCTAGTAGTAAACTGTTGCAAAGCACACATCAAATGAAAATGAATTTCTTCTGCATTTCTGAAAATATTGAAAATATATTAGATCATTCAATGTGGTATGCTACTTATTGCATATTCATACAAACCATGTCCTGCAAGAGAGTTGTTGTTTCTTATCTCAGGCTTTTGTAATGCATGTCACCTTCATACCACATTAGAAATAATTCAGTCATGTTTGTAGCTGTACAATACACCTTGATAGGAATGCAAGCTTTCATTTCTTTCCTCAAACGAATGAGCATAATGCACTAAAGCACAACATTGCAAAATTTAATTTCCTTCTTCTAGCTAGATAGAACAGGAGCGAAAATTTCAGCACTGATCTAATTCTTGTCTTATGCTTTCCTCTAAATCCACTGCCAAAGCCAAGCTGACTTGCAGATTCAATCTCATTTCTAACCTCTGGACAAACTGACACAGTCACCAAGGAGGCACAGCCTTACATATGCAACCTGTAACACAGGGTCCTCCTGTTATATATATTTTATGTCATAACAAGCATCTCCTGAATAATATAGAGTACTATAGAATTCACAGTCATCATGTTCTGAATGTGCAAAATTACACAAAAATATATCTTAAATCTTTCTGTGAATGGAGTTTGAATTCACATAATCTAACTTTGGATAGCTAAACCCTAAGTGTTATCCTCTCTCAGGTTCCCTCAATTCTAAAAGCTATGCTTCAAATATTGAATAAAGAGATCTCTAAAAAAACAATTTACCACATTTACTTCAGGATGAAACTAAGCACCTCATTTTCATATAGTTACTTATCGTACAAATTTCATCTTATATAAATTGTCAAATTGCCCAAACTGATAGTTTACTTCTTAAAGAACTTGAAACCAAGTAATTAAGTAGCACAATCTATGGGTTGGCAGTCTAATCACAGAGGCAGTGTGAGGTTCATGCTGATAAATTATAGGGATACATAAGCTAAAGTACATATGCTAATAGTTTATGTCTTTTTGGAATTATTTGCCTTTCATATAATGAGAGTAAAATTGTTAACTATTGAAAGAAAACAATGCTAAGTTCAAGTTTAAAGTACTTTTTAGTATGCTCATATGTTGTGTTTCTACTGAGCTCCATGAATATCTGTGCACTTTAGGCAACTCATAATTTAGGGCATTCCACCTCCTCTATTGCCCAGAGGCTAGCAGCTCTGTGGTGTAATCAGGGTGAACAAATCTGTCTACATTCCTCAGTCACACAGTTCCCAGACTGGTTTACTATGTCAAACTGCTTCTGTTTTCTGCTGCAGTCAGTCCTGAGCAGTACAGTCACTGCTAACAGCTCTGCTATGGAGACAGTCATTTCTGGCACAGAAACATAATGAAAGTCCCTGGTGGGAACCCCTAGATCAGAGTCCTCTGTCATCTTTGCAACTGCCCTTCAAAAATCTTCAGGCTGCTCCTAGGTCACCCCTCCACCTCCTCTTCTCTAGACAGAATTCAGGTCTCTCAGCTTCCCTCATTCATATGCTGTGCATACTTTCTAAACCTAAACTTCATGGAACTTCAGGTAGAGAAATGGGAAAGAAATTGAATGCACTGGCTTATGAAAGGCAAGTGTTTTTTGAGGAAAAGTATACTGAATTTTCTGTGATTTATGGATTTAAAAGGTATGCAGTTGAATATAATTTCTTGGGCATCTTTCATTTGCATTTGAAAACTAGGAAGTTAATTTTAATCATGCTTGCAAAAGTAAACCTACAGTCCTGAAAATAGCTATTCACTCTTTTTATGCAGGTCTGGTTCTTCAAGGAACAGTGTCAAACCCAAGAGAAAATATCACTGGGTTTTAGATTTAAGGAGTCACATAAAAATATGCTCTAAATTCTACTTTCCATATGAAAAGAACATATTACTTCCACTGGAGGCAAAGGGCCAAATTGTCCAAATGTGAAAATCATTCTAGTATCAATAATGCCAGACAGGCGATCCTAAGTGAAGTCTTCAGCTATTTCCATGGAATTTTTATAAATCAGTGGGTTTAACCTGAAAAAATCAGAGTGAGTAGGAACTCAGGAGTTGAAACCCAAGGGTTATGATAAGAGCTATGTGGCCATTGTTATCTTTATGTAAATACAGAGAATAGTCTAATAAATCCTGGTCTAAAAAGGTACAGCAGTTCCTTCTCTTAACATTTCACTGTTGAGATCTGATTTAAATGCTGGCTTAATTACTCACTTAGGAACAGAAATGTCATTGGGAAGGAAAAGGAATGAACTTATGAACTTAAAATACTGAAGTGTCATCTCTCAGCGACCTACACAAAATAAGAACTCACCCTGCAGATTAAATTTTACATTATTTTATCTACATCCTGGTCTGAAAATGTCAGTTTCCATCAACCCTTGTAAGACTTAGGCTCATTTAACCAATACAATATGAACAGAATTCCATATGCTTAGAAAGTTTCCTTCAGTCTCCAGTACATATGCAGATTGTTATTGCTTAGCATTACCCTGACTTGTATACAGAGCATGTGTGAGCTGACAGCCAGTTCAGAAATTGCTTGGTTTAATAGTTTAGTCTGAGTTATACTCTGGTTCTTGACTGCTCATTGAAAACATATTAAGAACTTGACAGATTGATAGTTAATATGAAAAACTAAACAGAATATGATAGTTTCTCTTGGTTTATATCTAAATTGTAGCATCAAGAGTGTGGTGTCCAAATTAAAACCTGATGCCTATTTTGGGAAGATCACTCAAAAATAACTTTATGTTTTGCTGGGACTCAAGTCTGAAAACAAAGACAGAGGAGTAAAAAATGTAAGAGGGTTTTGTGGTACATTTTCCCCACATTTCAAGCTCTGTGTCATCCATTGATCGAGGATTGGTTGGTTTTTTTCAATACCTATCTATGTCTCAAAATCTTTTAAAGTAAATATTGAAGTCAATATTGATATATAGCAGGACAAAAAATATGGATTTATCAGTAAACTAATAAAGTCCAGGAAATTTACTCTGAAACATCAACTTAATTTGTTTTGAATTAAAGGACTGAAGTCTGAATTTTAATTCCTAGTTAATTATTGTGACAGATGTGATAACTTTAGAACTGGAGTGTTTCCCAGTTGTTATAGGCTGTTTGTCTCACAAAAGTTTTACTGCTGAAGTGGCTTGTTGAACAGTACACACCCTTTACAAACAATGGTAATTAGTTCCTTTTTCATTATATATTAGTGCCAGATAAAAGGCATAAAAATTCCATTCCATACTATTTCCCAATCCTTTTTGTCTGATCCTCGGTTATAACCACAATCCTTGTACCACCCATTTCATTTTCATCTCTGCACTCAGTAATTAATACGCACCCCAAACCTTGATCTTGTTCAGCACCGTGCCAAGTTGTAAACTAGGCTAGAGTTACTGTGTTATCAAAGACAAGCATGTGACTTAGCTAATATTAAGAATTGGGTTCTCTGTGCTTATGATTTTTGAAGATCAATTTCAGGCTTAGCATGTTTGGAAATGATATGTTTTTAGTCATTGAACTGTGCAAGAATACATTGGAATACTCAAGGCAACTATTAAATACTTGATAATATATTTCAGAAAATAGGAATTAATAATTAATTTTATTTTTCTTGAAAAAGTGCATATAGAAATTGTAAATCAGAAATTTGACCATACATGCTCATATACAAATTACATTACTGTCAACATACACATTTTCCTGGATGAGGATGGACTGCAAAATGGAAAGGCTTAAATTCTAAAGATGTATGAAGTGTAAACTATTATGTTCTGGCACTTCTTACAATATCTCCTCTCTTGATAAGCTCACCAGGGACACTGTGCTGTCCCCAGGAAGGTGAGACACATGCATATTTGCATAATACACACTCCTTAATAAATATTTAAATTTTAATATACAAGGTGTCAAACAGAATATGCTAAATTTTACCTGCAAAGGTTTTGTAATCCACCAAGTCAAACATCACAATAGCTACTGCTGACCAGGTGACAATCAGAGCAACAACAAGAAGCCATGCTGCTGGTGAGCTGAACGTTGTCATGAGGTCTTCTGTAATTGACTTCTTGCCCACTTTCATGGATGATGAGGGAATGGAACCGTTCTTACCATCTATTATTGTCGTGGTCGTACACATATGTCCTATGGAAACAGAGGAAAAGGATGTAATAACTTGGAGCCTAAAAATCAAGAATATGAATGTTGTTTTGAAATTGTTTTGTAATCAGAATATTT